GAGCTACGAATATATATATATATATATATATATATACGCACATTATATGGTTAACAGCAGCTTCATGAGTATAACCATGATTTTTACAGAAGCTGCAAGAATAAGCGATTCTTATATTAAATACATCTATCGTCAAATTAAATGTACAATTTTCATCCTGAGCTCATAATTCGTGCGAAAGTGATGAACTTTTCGTAAGTGTATTTCGTTCATATGCCATTGATCTGTCATTCGCTTCAGAAGGATCGCAAAAATTATATTCTGCAGGCTAATATGGTACCCAAAATTCGTAACACTGATCCTTGTAGTTCACGTGCAGTTAGTCTGCCGCGCCATAGCTCAAGCGGTTAGTTGCTGGCTTCCCACCGCGGCGGTCCGTTTTCGATTCCGGGTCTGGTCAAGTGGGATTTGTGGTGGACAAAGTGGCGCTGGGGCAGATTTTCACCGAGTACTTCGTTTTCCCCTGCCAATCTTCATTCCACCAATTGCTCCGCAATCACCCTCACCTATCATCTGGGGCTGGTACAATAGGCCAGAAGTGGCCGCAGGACAAGGGATTTAGTCCCACTTCACTAGCAATAAAAAATAGTCTGTAGGCAGAATTTTATCAAACAACAAAATACTGGAAATCCATAATAATTCATGATATCGAATTGTGGCAGAATCTGTGAAACGGGTTAAAACATAATGGAAAAGTAGATTTAAATCTTTATGCAAATTTGGATTCATAATACACAAATGTGTCTTCAAATTGAAATGACTGACTGATATTATCCAAGCTACTTCCATGCCTGAACGTGAATAGCGGTTTATGATATAGTCCTGAGTGAAAAATGTTAATTTATGATCTTATGTAATGTAGACTTTGTAATAAGTTAATACAGTAGAAATAAAACTCTCCGAGCAGTGATACGCATAAAACTCTCGTATCGAGTATCGCCAACATTCATGTAGAATATGGCTAGAATTTTATTAAACTCATTTGATGCTACAATTAATATGTTGCTGGACATTATCCATCATCTTGTCTGTTCTAAAAAAACCGTATAGTTTCTATTAAAAAACACAACGTTTCGGGAACTGGAATCTGTCCCCGTCTTCAGGTAAAACCTACTCAGTTGGGTCCAATAGACAGAGCTAGCCCCTATCTCCGGACAACTATGCCAGTTTCAGAAGGGGTTATAAAACAAGCACAACATAATCCATCTGTGAGAGCTAAGAGATATTGAAGCTATCATAATTTGAGGCTTAACACCAGAAAAATATCTAGAATGAAATCATACCGGGAGAGAAGCAATACTCCTTGTGGTACACAAGCACAACATAATCATCTGTGAGAGCTAAGAAATATTGAAGCTATCATAATTTGAGGCTTACCACCAGAGAAATATCTAGAATGAAATCATACCGGGAGAGAAGCAATGCTTCTCTCCCGGTATGTGCTTGTTTTATAACCCCTTCTGAAACTGGCATAGTTGTCCGGAGATAGGGGATAGCTGTGTCTATTGGACACAACTGAGTAGGTTTTACCTGAAGACGGGGACAGATTCCAGTTCCCGAAATGTTGTGTTTTTTAATAGAAACTAGACGGTTTTTTTTAGAACAGACAAGATGATGGATAATGTCCAGCAACATATTAATTGTAACAATTTACCATCATCACAAACTTTTAGATCTCATTTGATGCTATTGAAAAATTCATTTATGACCTTACATAAAGTACTCGAAAGTGCCCGGCAACTTTTATCGGGAGCGTACAAGGCGGAATATTAAAACAAATTTATTCAGCGGTTTAGCTGCTAATATGGCGTCACAGGAAGACGAACAGATGGGCAGATAGAGACAGACATGTCCTCCAAATAAGATTTCGTATACTTTGTGAAAGGTGCATAGTAACGGACTGGCTGTCATTTGCCTGTACTTCAACTAATTTTGGTTTCAATATTGTCTTGCGCTACATTGCTTCTGGAAACATCATCTCAAGAAGCATATCAACCTGTTAATGAATTCCAGTTCATGTTTTACGCCTTTCTTGTTATTGTAGGGTTGTATTCTTTGAAGTAGCTACCGTCCTGATAGGAAACCTTGGTGTCAACATTGTTAATACTAAAGCCTACCACTGGACACGATTCTGAGCCAGATTCATCCACTTCCCAACCTCATAATTTATCTACATATAGGTGGCATTTCAGTTTTCCAACTGGTCTTAATATTTCTTCATAATTGTACACATATTAACTTCTCCTTCCTCCACCATTCCAGCTCTATGTCTAGACAAATGGGCCGTTTCTTTCTCTCACTAGCTTAACAATACTGAGCAAGCGAAACTGTATGATTCTTACTGTTTACTTACGTGGTTTACTCTTCGACATTGAAGAATATTATTCCGAAACGTCGGTTACCAGGCCTTACTTCCCAGGATTTAGCGCTCTTTAATATGGTTGCGCTTATTGCTAAATCCCACCGTTATAGACTGACATACTGTTGATCTCGGCGCCGCTCCACACCTGGCATCGTGTGGCAGTGACGCTACTCGGTTCGCCGTGTGCCATACACTGGAGGAGGCGGAATGGCAGAGTTACTTATGTAGCAAGGGACCGTTATGGAGGGAAGAAGGAAACACACTGGCCTCATGTTGTTTCACTAAATGTGCATAAAGAATTGGCTTGACGGTCACACGCTATTGAGGTTCTGTTCTCAAACGCGCATCAAAGTCTCCGGGGTGGGGGTTCACATAACAGAGACCCTACTCTTCTTCTCTGATCGTTAATCATCTTGTCCTATATCTTACCTCGCTTTATTACAACTGTGTACCTCCTCCTTCCATCCGCTTCTAACCTTGTTACTCAAATTTCTCATGCAAAGTGTGCATGTTATTCAGCTACTTAAACTTGTTTTTCTATGTCAGAATTTCCTTAATTTCCTTTATCATCAGCTCCAGCATAACTACTTTTAGCTTACTTCTGTCTCAGTCTCATTATTTGCCCTACTGATTTCATGATTACTTATACGAAGCGAAATCATATTGTAATTTTATGAGATTGCATCCTGTTTGTGTTCATGTTGGACCTGAGCTTCTCACAGCGGTGACTATGAATAATTATATCTTCTGCTTTTTCGGCACCAAAATGCGGGGCAAAATCATGACATAACGACAGGAAACAGATGTTTTCAAAATGTGTACAGTTCAAATATTTGGGAACAACGATAACAAATCAAAACCTGATTCAGGAAAAATTAAGAGGAGACTGAATTCGGGTAATGCTTGCTACCATTCAGTCCAGAAACTTTTGTCGTCTCGTCTACTGTCCAAAAACATAAAAATTAGAATACGCAAAACTATAATTTTGTCCGTGGTTCTGTATGGGTGAGAAATTTTGTTTCTGACATTAAGGGAGGAATATAGACTGAGGGTGTTTGAGAACAGGGTGTTGAGGAGAATATTTGAACTGAAGAGGGATAAAGTGACAGGAGGTTGGAGAAAACGGCATAATGAGAAGCTTCGTAACTTGTACTCTTCTCCAAGTATAATTAGAGTGATCAAGTCAAGGATTATGAGGGAGGCAGGGCATGTAGCACGAATGGGGGAGATGAGGAATGCATATAGGATATTGATGGGAAAGCTAGAAAGAAGGAGACCACTGGGAAGACCAAGACGTAGGTGGGTGGTGAATAATAAAATGAATCTTAGAGAGATAGGTTGGGATGGTATGGGCTCTTTTGAACACGGTAATGAACCTTTGGGTTGCATAAAATACTGGGAAATTCTTGAGTAGCTAAAGATTTGGCTTCTCCTCATGAATGGCCCAGAGCTCCATAAGTAAGTATTTTTTTATTGCTAGTGGGGTGGGACTAAGTCCCTTGTACTGCGGCCACTTCTGTCCTATTGTACCAGTCCCAGTTGATAGGTGAGGATGATTGTGGAGCAATTGGTGGAATGAAGATTGGCAAGGGAAACCGAAGTACTCTGAGAAAAACGGCCCCAGCGCCACTTTGCCCACCACAAACCCCACTTTACCAGACCCGGGATCGAACCCGGGCCGCCGAGGTGGGAAGCCAGCGACTAATCGCTTGAGCTGTAGCACGGCTAAGTAAGTAAAGGATATAACACCGTGTAGTCCGTCGTATGTGAACTGACATTTCAGAGGAATATCGCCTCAATGTTCAGGATTGGAGCGTAAGCCAAGCAATAAACCAGCATGAAGCAGGTAGCAAGCAGATTGTGTATGAATGTTCTTATAACTTGACACTTCTTGCGCCCTCTGTTTATGCACGAAACCTTTACCTAAATTCTTCACGATGACTTGCATAAAATTGCAGTTCCTTAAGTGTTACGTTGTTTGTTCAGAACTCACCCCGCAGCCATCTCACTCATACTACGTGATCCCGTATCGAATGTATACTTTGTATTAATTGTGCTAAACATGCATACACTTTTCGTTATGTCTATGGTGAGGCAGTGTTGGAAGTACTTAAGCGAAGCATTGTATCCTTAATTGAAACGCTTATGTACATCACTATTGGTGCCTTTATTTATTTATGGCTTACTTAACGAGGACAAACGAGAGAGCTCAGTTGGTATAGCGACTTGGCCGCGGCCTGGACAACCGAGTAGTTGCAGTTCAATTCCTGGTGGGGACAAAATATATTTTATTCTCTGTAGTTTTAAGACCAGCTATGGGGCCAAACTAGCCTCCTATACAGTGGGTACCAGTGGTTGTTTCTGCGGGAGCAAAGTGACAAGAGTGTCGTGCTAAGCACTAGCTGACCATCTATTGCCTATACGTCTACATGTCGCGAGGCTTAATTAATGGAGCCCTTCACGTTAACAACGCCGTCTGTTACGTAGGCTATGCACCGTTCCGTGGTAGGATGATCCATGGACTATGAATTGGATAGGGTTTGAAATAAGACTGTTGTGGCATATTTCAAGGCACTATTCCAGCATTTTCCTGGTGTGAGTGAGTAGAACCATGAATAATTTTTAGTCCGGATAATCAGTGTCGGGGACATGATTCGGACCCCGTACATGACGAACAGGTTGTAAGTGACACCGCCTCATCCAAGTTTTTGGACATACAGTTGGGCTACTCAACACTGCTCTGCACGTTGTATACTGAAACCTCTAACATGGTTCAAGCACATGAAAATCTCTGTCGTTTGTAATTCCTAGGGCCTGTAAGGACCCGAAAAGTCATGTTACAGATTTCTACTTTAGGTACAAGCATTTGAGGGATTTCCTATAGGAAACGAAAGACAAAACTGAGCATCAAATTTGCCATCTACGTTACATCGTGAAGATGTGACAGGGGGGGACGAATCTGTTGGAAACATGACATTTCCAGGCGGACATGAAGACTCGGCTGTCCTCCATCTTTGTCAAAAGAGCCTCATGTTGTTACTCAGCAGAGTTCGACATAGACCCCTAAAGCAAACAGAAATACTGCAAAGTTAGGATTTACTTGATGAAGCCACGGAAATATTCATATGTCGAAAATCATCAGGAATTATTAGTCTTTCGATTTACTATTGTAAGGAAGTAACCGTCTGATGATGACTTTCGCCATAACAGCACCACCGACGACGGGGAACATTTCGTAGATCATCAGAACTGAGATTCAAGGCCTACATGAAGGTAATATTTACCCGTAAGTCCCTCTCGGTCAGCAGTGCACATGAAAGGACCATATGGAAATATAGGATGAATTCTACGTATAACCGGACATGAAAATTACATGTGGCAGATGAAGACTAAAGTGATTGCTGTAGTGCCAAGCATGAATCTTGGATATACGGAGTACTGCCGTTTCCTAGGCGAGTGGGACAGAAGGACAAAACATTCCATTCTGTCGAAGATGTAGGCAGGCCATCCTCATGTTCTGCAGAAATCTACTTACGCCTCACCGTGCCAGATTTGGGATTTTGAAGAGTTTCCTTAAATTCATATACGAAAGTGGTGAAATTTTCTATTACATAAACGAATACAAGCATACCTCGGAGATATTCCAGGTTCGGTTCCAGATCACCGCAATAAAGCGAGTCACACGAATTGTTTGGTTTTCCATTACATACGTATAAAAGTAATTTAAACTATGTTGTAGTCTATTAAATGTGCAATAGCATTACGTGTTCAAACACAATGTACATACCAGATTTTTTCGGAGAAGTAGTGGGTCTGGAAAGGGGTCCACTCAGCCTCGTGTTGATAATTGAGGAGATATTTCAAGGAAATAGCGACTCCGGTCTAGAAAACCGAAATTAACGGCCTTGGGGATTCGTTGCGCTCACCACGCGGCACCCTCTATCCGGAAAAGTTGGCACTAAACTTCGCCTAACTTTAGGCGTAGGTTGGTGGACAATATTAAAATGGATGTTAGAGAGATAGGATGGGATGGTATGGATTGGATTGATCTGGCTCAGATATGGACCAGCGGAGGGCTCTTGTGAACACGGCAATGAACCTTCGGGTACCATAAAATGCTGGGAAATTCTTGAGTAGCTGCAGATTTGGCAGTTCAGCAGTACACTACAGAGGCGTAATGAGATGGTGAATTAGAAGTGAACAGACGTCTATGTGTATAGTCCGTCAATAATGCAACAATCATAAAAACAATCACTATTCAACACCAATACGACATGTTTCGGCCATAGACGGCCATCCTCAGGTGTTTCGATTCGTCTCAACTCTTACACTGTTTTGATGTGCGCTAAAATGGCGCGTTGCAGTCCACTTAAATTAAAATCTTTCGTAAAATTCTATCCACCTCGTAAGGGGCGTCGTCCACTTGTTTAAAGCAATGTGATGTGTGTGTTCCAGACAGTTTGTTTCAGCTGCTACCCCTGGGATCTGCACTGTGCCCCTTGTTTGTGTTGTTCCCTCGGGCATCGTGTGGTGTCGGCTTCACCAGTCCGTCAATAACGCAACAATCATTAAAATATTCAGCGTTCAACTAATTACATAGACGTTTAATGAAAGATGTGAAACAGGATGCTGAAATACAGAATTAGAAGTGAATAGATTTTCGCACTTTTGTTACTGGTTATTTGTGTCCTTGTTGATCAGCGAAATAAAGGCAATCAGATTTTCTTTGTTCGGTGCGGCGTAAAGGAAATGTTCCGAAGAGATAAACTTTTATGCGTGCGTGAAAACTGGCCTTCAGTTAAGGAAGTACTAGAAGCAGACATTAGGGAATTATGTAACAAACTGTGAGCGTTCGTTTCTCTTACTTGTGGTTCGAGTTTGTTATGAAAATTGCTTTTTGAGTACAGTCCCCCTTTAGTGGCCACAGAGGATGTCATTTTCTACCATAACCATGTAAAATCACCTCATAGAATTTCTCTAATAGAGGATTCCATGAAGTCAGAATTGTTTTTATCGTTGATGGGTATAAGGACAGCAAATTTCGAGCCACGTCTTGCCGTACCGAACTTTTTGTGGAAAAGAGAATGAAGACAGAGGCATATTCTAACATGGCGGGGTACAAAGAAATGCAATATGCTCAGGCAGTTTTTAGAGAAACTGTTACTGTATAGGGTTTGGCATACATTTTA